TATGCGTTGGTCTTCCCGGTGGTCTCTTTCCTTCTGGCTTTCCCACCAATATCTTATACGCATTTGTCTCCCCCATTTGCGCTACATGCCTTGCCCACCTCATCCTCCTTGACTTGATCATTCTAATTATAACTGCATATCTACTTACCTAATGGAAACTGCAACTGATCCTCAAAGCTCTCTGTCCAGAAGACAAGAACTTTGGTGTTGGAATGAGGTGGAGGCGAATGACGAATAGCGCCTGCTTGTCTTCGACCTGATCCATTGGTGCCCGCAGACGATGAGGCAGAAGGCTTGTCCAGGTCTAATGACAAAGTTCGAGTCTTCTCAGTGCTTCGACCTACATTTCCTGTACTGTCTGAGATACTGCGTTCAAACCAGGCTGAACAGAAAACAAATGATAAGATGCTAACCACTTATAAGGTTGCAGTATTGTGATTATAGCCACATAAATGTGCATTTCATTTCACAGTCCACCATCCTAAATGAGTTTTGGTTTACTCAGCTGTGCCAACAGAAGACTTGGTGTTATCATTCAATATTCAATCTTACCAGTTCACTAACTCCATGGTCATATATTTCAACTAATTCAGTCACAAAGTGCTAATCATACTGTTGAAACAAATTAGATTAATAGCAAGAGAATGAAGTGCTACCAAAATATTACACAAGTTTTCAAAACTAAATATCCAAAAATATATACATATAAACATTTTCTGTTTTTGTTCCGTCATTCTGTGTGTTATGAGTTAATGTTAGGATCAGGATAATTAACAGTTAGAAACAGAAATATTACCTTGACCAGACACATTTGTTGATTCTGATGATGAATCAAACTGTGGTGATACATCATGTTCACAACACCGCGTCGGTACAACAAATGCGATTTCAGAACTTGCATCTGCCCAATATAAAACTTGTGAATCTCCATTGTATGCGCTTCCACCGTGGTTGCTTGGGGCCCTAGCTTGCTCTGGGAACAGATACCAACTTGATAGTAACAAATACACAGATACTGCAGCTTCCACAAATACCATTTCACTGCTTCTAACTGCACGACATGGTTGGTGGTCAGCTGGTTTCTAATGCCATGCTCTGACAGTTAAGTCAACTGTGCTTTTAAACTCAACTGAATGGCGTACTTGTAAATCATTTTCTACTCAGAAACCATGCGGGTGAGATACGTTATTCAGTCCAGCTGCACAGTACTGTAGTATAAGGGCATGGATACAAGCAGATATCTGTAGATGAAATGCAGCCGAGATAAGATATCTAACAAGTGTATGAGGAAAAACCAGGAGAGAATAAAATGTAAAAAATTCTAGAGTATTCAAAGATAACAGCATTTAAAAAGGAATTAAAATCTTTTTTGCTGAAACATTCCTTTT